CTACAACGCCTGGCTAATTTTTTTGTATTTTTAGTAGAGACGGGGTTTCACCGTGTTAGCCAGGATGGTCTTGATCTCCTGACCTTGTGATCTGCCCGCCTTGGCCTCCCAAAGTGCTGGGATTACGGGCGTGAGCCACCTCACCCAGCCAAGAGCTCCCAACTTTAAAACAAATATATAAAGTACATTACATATCCTATGGAATACTTATGAGGCAGTATATAAGTACAAATTTTGTTTTCTTTACACTCAACTCTATGCCACTTTGATATGATACTGTCTTTATTGGTGGAGATTCTTTTGCTATCACATGCAGTCAGTTGTCCAGCTGTTACTCTGTGAACTACTGTGGAACCTTTAATGTTACTTAAACCCACCTCTCAGCCTGGGCAGCATAGTAAGATGCTTATCTCTCCAAGGAAAAAAAAATTAACCGGGTGTGGTGGTGTGCGCCTGTATGTAGTCTCAGCTACTCAGGAGACTGACATGGGAGGATGGCTTGAGCCTGGTAGGTGGAGACTGCAGTGAGCCGTGATTGTGCCACAGCGCTCAACCTGGGCGGCAGAGTGAGACCCTCTGTCAAAAAACAAATGAAAACCCACCTCTCATCTTTTTTCATTAATCTTACCAGCCTCAGCTAGGGTAATATTATTTGCTACACATGTAACTGTAAATACAAACTGATCTCAAGATTACCCAGGAGGTGGAGCTTGCAGTGAGCGGAGATCGTACCATGGCACTCCAGCCTGGGTGACAGAGGGAGACTCCGTCTCAAAAAAAAAAAATTACATAGGTAATCTGAAGCATGCTTGTATTAATTAAACACACACAATTGAACAAAACATCAACAGGACTATTTTTTTAGAACGCGTGAATTCCTTCTCCCCTAAATATGTGTCTCTAAGCCCCACTTTGAGAAGTACTAATGTAATTAGAGCTGAAAGCCTTCGATTACAGATCTAGACAGAGAAACCTTACTGATTTCCCCCAAAGTCACAGAGCTGTTAATGGCATATCAAAGATTCATACCCAGAATATTTTGTTTTTTTAAGCTGGAACTTTTGTCTGCGCTTCGGATTGAAACTTTACATTGTTTTTTTTTTTGAGACGGAGTCTCGCTCTGTCGCCCAGGCTGGAGTGCAGTGGCCGGATCTCAGCTCACTGCAAGCTCCGCTTCCCGGGTTTACGCCATTCTCCTGCCTCAGCCTCCC